CCCTAGTCTCTCGGCCACAGAAGCGCGGGAAGGGAACTGGAAGCAGGCAGGAGGGGATCTGGGGGCAGAGTGTGGGCAGAGCGTGGACAGGGCCACGCCAGGCTGTTGGGGGAGGCACAGACTTCCCCTGCCTATGCTACCGTCGCCCATGCTCACTAACCTCAATATTAACCCCCTTCCGAGAGTGAGTGGGTGGGTCCTTGCAAGGGGGACCCTTTAGCGACCTGTGGGTGTGGCAGGACGCGGCTGTAGCCTGGAACTTGGCAGAGAACAGTTTCTGCAGCTGGAGAACCTGCCAAGGTGGCTATGCCCGTTTGCCTAACGAGGTGTGTGGCGGCCTCTAGAGGTACATGGGTGTTTAGCAAACCACGGCAATGTGAGGCCAGGCAGGTTCCCTGGAGGGTCTGCGTGACCCAGCGAGACGGGAGCTTGCTGCCCAGATTTAGGGATATGCCCCGTTATCCTCCTGGAGTGACTCAGACACCCTGTGAGCTGCTTCCGCCTGCAGCTGTGCGCGTGTCCCTCCTGCTGCAGTCCGTGTGGGGGAGGCAATGCGCACACAGCCAGTGGCAGGCTGCAGCCGGGCAGCTAACGCATGGGCCGCAGCTGTTGTATTTCCTACGCGGGCGGGCGGCTCCGTGGAAGAGGCCGTTGGAGTCGTCAGCGCTCCAAGCAGGGAAGAAGCGCCAGTGATGTTTTTAGTGACCGGTTCTGGATTGGCCACGTGGTGAGTGGCAGAAGAGAGACACCTTGGGCAGTAGCGGGAGGGCCGGTTTCACCCACACGGTCCTCAGGCTGACGGGAGTTTGGTCTCTTTGTCGTCTCTGCTGCCCGCCGATGAGCAGGGCAAGCGGCCCCGGGTGCAGTGGCAGTTTGTATGCCGTGGACCCGGGGCTGGGAGGAGCCGTGTTTGGAAGTTGATGCTGGGGGCCCTGTTGTGTCCGCTAGACTAGAGATGCTTTACTGGTGAGGCCTTCCCAGAACAGGAGGTGTCTGACGCCGGCGTCCTCTCTCTGTCCCAGGGCTGCTGACAGGATACAGCTCCACCCTCTGGATCGGGCTCAATGACTTGGACATGAACGGGGGCTGGCAGTGGTCCGACAACTCGCCCCTGAAGTACCTCAACTGGGAGAGCGGTAAGTCTGGCCGAGGGGTAAAGGGTGATGCAGATGGGGAGCAGCATCCTGCAATGGGGTGAGGTCCTGGCAAACTCGCAGCAGGAGGGAGACAAAGACAGATGTAGATGCTGTCCATGGGTAGCACGGCAGAAGCGGGAGGGTCATAGAGATCCTCTGTTGTTGTGTTGTGGCAAATCCCAGAGTCCTGCCCCAGAAGGCTGAGGAGAGATGCTCCAGGCTGCTGCAGGGTTTAACAGGCAGGCTCATTTGCTGGCGCATATGTGGTAGCAGCACTTTGCCGTCTGTGGAATTACATCACTTCTCTCTACTCTACGTGACGCATGGGGACTGAGTGGAAATGGGGACATCGGGGCCATGCCAGGCACTGGGTCTCAGGGCTGCCGGGTGCCAGGGAACCATGTGCCTGAGCCCGGAGCTGCCATGGCATTGTGTGCCACTGGACACCAGAGAAGTCTGGGCCATGTGCTGTGGTGAGACTCCATGGAACTCCATGCCACATGAAACCTGATGCTGGAGGTGAACTCCAGCAATAATTCCTGGGGTGAAATCCTGGCTCCATTGACTTCTAATCTAATCTAATCTGGGACCACAAATACTAAGATGCTTTAATTGTAATGCTGTGGTTGTTGCCTGGCCGGGCAGAGTTAAGGCTGCTCGGGTGCCTTAACTGTATTTCCATCTCTCACTGTGTTCGGATTTCTCTAAACATAACGTTCACTCTGGATTTCCTGGGCTCACAAGGCTTGGTTTGGGGATAATTCCAGCATCCCTGTAACGATCTTTACCCCTAAGTTACTGATACAAACTCTCAGCCTAAGCTCCATCTTGATGTCACTTTTTTTGCCATGAAATATAAAATAACGAATGGTCCTGTCTAATAGAGGCCAGCTGTCTGCTCCTGTTTCCCGCATTCCACGAGACAGGCCCTCGGGGGCATGCAATTAATTTTAAAGGCAACATCTTAAAGTCGCTCCTTCCTTTCCTCTGCCTGTAGTTAGCCTGTGGCAGGTGCTGTGGCAGGATATTATTGGGGGAGGTAGTTTAGGGGGCTGGATTTTCAATGCTGACTTCAAAGGTAGTTGTGGCTGCGCTGCACTTCAGAAAATCAGCCCCTAGTAAGTTTTAGGGAATGAGAATAGCACTTGCCAGGACTCTAGCTGTGGTTTTAGAGGCCCCAGGCGCTCATGCTTCAAGGCATAGGCTGATCACCAGCTTTAGTGGTCAGGAAGGAATTTCCCCTGCTGTATAGCATTGCTCCAAAAGCAATATTCTAGGGTATTACTCCTCTTTTTTGAAGCATCTGGCAGTGTCCGCTAGCCGGACCATACTCCTCTGCTCTGGTTTCTGTTTGAACTCCTGTGTATTCATCCAGGGGATGGGCTCTAATGCTCGTATTTTCCCTACCCTTCCTCCTCCCTTCTCACCCCCTCCCCACTCCCATCTCCTGCTTGTAGACCAGCCTGACAATCCCAGCGAAGAAAACTGCGGGGTGATCCGGACGGAGTCCTCGGGGGGCTGGCAGAACAGGGACTGCAGCATCGCCCTGCCCTATGTTTGCAAGAAGAAACCCAATGCCACCTCCGATCCGTTCACGACAGGTGAGCTGGAGAGCCTGCCCGCACTGCAGTATCCAGAGATCTCTTTTTCTCTCCTCCACAGCTTTTCTTTTCCTTTCTTTAATAACAAAGCCAACCCCCCCCCCCCCAAACCCTGGACGCACTCTGCACAGCTGTCAGTATTGGTTTTGTTCCTTTGTTTTAAAGGAGGAAAAAAGAAAGCGAGGGTGCTCAGCACCTCTGGGTATGAGACCCTAAGATCCTAGGCAGGGATGGGGCCTGATTCTGCACTGCCTCGCACCTCTGGTTGGGTCTGCTCTCTCCCACACTTCCCTTCCCAGGGCCGCTTACTGAGAACCCTAAGTACAGAATTGCGTCTATCACCGCGGCTTGCGTTGTTCTTCCTCTGACGAGGGATGAGCAATCGCCTCCTGCAGAGGGAACAAGAACTGCCCCAGAAGCCAGCGGGAACCTTTGCCCATCACGCAAACCAGACAGCTCTCGGAAGTTGCCAAACTGGTTTCTTCTGATTATTTCCCGCCTCTGTCCTTCTAGTTGGGAGATATTAAAATATCACATGGTTTTGCCCCCATTTGGAATCGCTCTGTGCAGCTGTCAGTGACGACCCGTGGTGCAAAGCGGTGGAGAATCCACCCCATCCCTTCGTAAGACCTTAGGGCCTGACACGAAGAGAGGCTGAACCCCCCCAGCTCCCCTTTAAGTGACTGGTGTTGGAGGGTGCTCACCGTGGGTACAGTACGTGGGAAAGCTGCCAGAATGCTAATGCGCACCATGGAAACGCAACTCATTTCCCCTCCTTCCTCCAGGCCCCTTTCATCTCCGCTGCCTTCTGTCTGCAAGGTGGTGATTACACATCCCAGGTGTGTTTGGCCTCCTACCTTTCAGCCACACAAGAAGAGAACGAACTCCCCCCAGAGCGTTACAGCCTAGAAACGCTCGGTGCAATTATGAAATGGAAATCAGAAGAGGCAAAATGGGAGCTTTAATCGTATTCCAGGGGGAGGAGGGGGCATTATCGCTCTGGGTGTGACATTACTGCTGTCCAATCAGAAGGCTTCTTGGGTGTCTGGCGCTCTAAATCATTGAACAAATTCCTCTGCTTTGTAGCTGATGGTTATCTTGAGTGACTCCGTTCTCAGCTCCATGTGGGTCAGGTCTCCCAGCTGCTCAGCGCTTCAGCCTCGGCTCCGCCTTATGATGAGTTCAAAGCATTCTCCAAGCTGCTGGCCTGCCACCTGGGGCAGGCATGCTGAGATGTGTGTTCTGTCACTGCTTTCCTACAGCTGGCACTCGAGCTGCTTTGTAACCATCATGAAATATATGGAACATCTAACGCCAGTATCTGACTGACAACCTTCTACCTGATAGTGCTGTGTCAGAAATAATCAACCAGCCGATGCACCAGGCTGTGTCTGGCTCTTCTCCTCACACTCAATTTTCTATGTTTTATTTATCTGGTGGGTGGGGTTTTTTTTCCCCCCCTTCAGTAAATCTGTTTTCACAAGAGATTTTTTTTTTCTTACTAGCGTGGCCTTTCTCTTGCTGTTTCTGATGGGGCTGTCAGCATGTTGTTTTATTACTATTTTAATAATTCTGTTTGAACTGTGATAGCCCCTCGGAGTCCCAGTCCTGGACCTGGACCTCAGTGCGCTAGGTGCTGTACAAACACAGAGCAACCTAAGTTATGTGACAAGGCTGATAGTGGTGGTGGCAGTTCATGCAATGTGGACATCCATCCACTGAGAACTGGATTGCAGCTCGCCATGCTCATTGCCTATAGGTAGGGCCCTACCAAATTCACGGCCGTGAAAAACGCATCACGGACCATGAAATCTGGCTATTGTAGGGGGGCCACAGTATTGCCACCCTTACTTCTGCGCTGCTTTCAGAGCTGGGTAGCCAGAGAGTGGTGGCTGCTGGCCAGGCACCCAGTGCAGAAGTAAGGGCAGTGTGGCATGGTATTGCCACTCATACTTCTCCGCTGCTGCTGGCAACAGCACTGCCTTCAGAACTGGGTTCCTGCCCGGCAGCCGCCACTGTCTGGCCGCCCAGCTCTGAAGGCAGCGCAGAAGTAAGCATGCCAATACCGCAATGCTCCCTATAATAGCCTTGCAACCCCCGCCGGACCCTCTTTTGGGTCGGATCTCCCACGGTCACAACACTGTGAAATTTAAGATTTAAATATCTCAAACCGTAAAATTCAAGATTTTTTTGTAAACGCTATGACCATGACATTTACCAAAATGGACTGTGAATTTGATAGGGCCCTACATATAGTCCAGCAAAACGCTGCCACATGGCTGTAGCTTTCAGTCGCTACTGTCCTGCAGGCTGTGAGCTGGACTGACTGATTTGCACACCCTTGGTGGGGGTAGGAAAAAGGGGTCTAAGAAGGGAGAACCTCAGCGCTCTTGTCAAACTGCAGGAAGACCCCCTGAAGCTGTTGTGAAGTCAGTTGCTGGTGTAAACATGCCAGTTGGGAAGTGGGGCAGCCCCGGGGGAATTCATGGAGCACTCAGATTCCTCGCGGGGAGGATGGCAGTGGGCAGGAGGGAATTGCCGAGAACGTGCTAGTTGGAGATGGAATCTGGCCCGTCGCTGGGGGAACAGTTGCCACTTCATAAGTGATCCATGCAACTCCCCTTCCCGGCCCTCGACAGCAGAACCACAGGGCTCAGGAACTCCGGTCTGGTGGATTTCCAGACCCTCCTGCTGCTTGGGGGCTCTGCCATTCCTAACACAGACCCCGCACTCGTGGCTGGACGCCACTGGCACCGTGGAGGAGAACGGGCTTAGAAGGGGCCGTGCGGGGAGTTAGCAACAAGGCTCCTTAGCAGTCTGCTCTGGGTCCCTGCAGACTCCTGGTCGGAGGTGAAGGTTGATTGTGAGCCTACCTGGCAGCCCTTCCAGTCCAGCTGCTACCGGCTGGTTGGCGAGAAGAAGAGCTGGCAAGACGCGAAGAAGACCTGCTTGCGTGGCGGTGGGGACCTGGTGAGCATCCACACGCTCTCCGAGCTGGAGTTTGTCACCAAACAGATCAAGCAAGGTAAGGTTAAAACAGGTCTGCACACTTGCCACCTGGGAACACTCTAGGGACCCGGGTCAGAGCTATGGATTGCTCTTCTGGAATGTGCGTGGCTGGGGGAGCCCATCCCTTCACTGGCACATGGTTCTATGCTGCACATACATGTTCATATTGACCTTTACATGTATGCATTCACGTGGGATATCTACCAAAGGTACTTCTAGAGCCCCTATGATTAGCTCAGCCCCTCACACTCTAATGCGTTCATCCTCCCAACACCCCAGTGAGGCAGGGCAGGGCTAATCTCCCCATTGTACAGATGAAGAGTTGAGGCCCACAGAGGCTAAGTGACTTCTCCAAGGTCACACAGAGAGGCCATGGCTGGAGCAGGGATTTAAACCTGCTTTTGCTGAGTGCCCTAGCTACTGGACAGTCTTTCCTCTCTGTAATATACCTTGCACCAGGAGTGGTCCCAGTGAGGCTACGAGTGGAGGAAGATACTACTTGGAGTGAGTAGAGGTATCATGATCTGGTCCATACTAGGCTCTGTTCCCGGCTCTAATGCTGGCTCGTTGTGTGGCCGTGGATAAGTCCCTCCCACCTCAGTTTTCCCATCTGAGAAATGGGGTTGGGGATACTTCTCTGACTCTGGGATTATGACGGTAGTTAATTCAATCTGTGAATGGGGTTGAGCTCTGTAGATGGAAGGTGCTGTAGAAAGTATCGTCCCTGACGTCTTGTGAATCTATCAGAGACAGCACAAGAAGCGCTTAACATGTATTAAGTGCATCATTTATCTGCTGGGGCAATGGCTGACATTTGATACATTAATCTCAATCAGGAATAAAAAGGAATGGCCCCATTCTCTTTGAGTCAATACTGACCCAATGCCCCAGGGGGATGGCGGCGGGCACTGTGCTTCTGGTGATGGCATTGTTTCCACGAGATGTAAAACTGAGGCCCTGGACCACTAGTGGTTATTAAAGATCTCCTGGCACTCTTTTAAGAATTGGGATTGCCCTGACTGATTCCAAATTGGGTCCCTGCTTAGGGAAAGCTTCCCCCAACAGTTTCAGTTAGATATAGTTTTAGTCTACACATCTTGTCCTAAATTTGCTCTGTAATAATGTTCCCATGCGCTGTTAAATAGCCACCACGTTCCATCCAAGAGGTGGCTGCTTTTCATGGAGTGCAGTGATACTATAACCTACCTCGGAGAAGCATTTGTAAAGCACTTTCAGACCGTTCCCCACAAGAACAGACACGCAGAGTATTTATTCGTTAGTAGCCAAGGCAAGGCATATCCTTTTGAAAGTACTCTTCTTGTCGAGTACAAACTGGGTCCTATGTTCCAAACCCAGGTCAATGGATGAGTTTAATCAAGAGTTTTGAATCACCATTGGCATGTCAGAATGTCCTGTTGCAGCCAAGTAACACAGGTTATGTCTACCCTGCAAATAAAGCTGTGATTGCTGCGCGGGCAGGCATACTGGTGTTAGCTTTAATCTAGCTGGCATGGGTTACGATAGCAGAGGAGACTTGGAAGTACGCACAAAGGGGCCAAAATGAAGTTTGTATGGGCAACCTGAATTCTGGCATGGCCTAACGTTTGAGTGTTTGACTTCGCTACCCTAATGTTCTTTTAATGAATTTGTCTTGCATGTAATATTGTTATCATTGGCTTGGATTGTCAACAGAGCCTAAAAGAACTTCGGATCTGGAAACTGGGCACTCAACTCCCTTGGATGTCTCAGAAAGTCTGACCATTATTATTGATCTGTAACCCCTAAGACTCCCAGTTGAGGATCAGAGCCCCATGGCGCTAGACGCTGTACAAACAGCTGACAAGGAAGCCAGTCCCTGTCCCAGGCGGCTCACAGCCAACATGGCTTGTAACTTGTGAGACGTTCCTCTCATCCATGAATGCTCAGAGAGGGGAGACTTTTCTCTTCGTGCTACTGTGCGTTAGTAGGGTGAGGTTCACCCCAGACACCAGAGCTGGACTCTGACCTGCTCTTCCCCTTTCTGCTTGGCAGATGTCGAGGAGCTCTGGATTGGCCTGAACGACCTCAAGCTGCAGATGAATTTTGAGTGGTCAGATGGGACGCCGGTGAGGTTCACGTACTGGCACCCCTTTGAGCCCAACAACTTCCGAGACAGCCTGGAGGACTGTGTGACCATCTGGGGACCGGTGAGGACTGATCACGGAGGAGGAGCGGGACAGGATGTGGGACCTTTCCTATCCAATTAGCAGGGCTGGAATGGAGTAATTGGAGCTTGGCAGAATTCAATCGATACATATTTTAAATCTCAACAGAGCTCGATGTTTATTTTTAAGTATTTGTACAGCTGCGGGAAATTACTTGGGGGTCAGACAATAATTATTTAATGACTGTAGATGCTGAGATTCAAAAAGTTAAGCTTTGTAACCATCAAAACACAAATTGTCAACCTGGCATGTCAGAGGATACATTGTAAATATCCTTACGTCAAACCCTAGTAAGTTTCCAAGCAGTGTTTTTCTTACTTTGCCTATCTGTAAATTTCAGTTATTAATCAATGGAAATCGTCTTCGGTAGGTTTGTGTGTGCTTGGTGAAATCAGCATTTACTGATGTTTACTGATCAAAATCTAATCCACTTTATACTAGCTAGATTGATGGGTGTGAGCTCTGTGCCGACAGCCCCGGAGACTGGCGCTCTCTGTGTCCATCGTACGGGTGTGGCACAGACAGCAGTGTGCCACCAATGTCCCCTAAACCTGACCACGAGGGTGGTCTCCGTGACCGACCCATTCCTTGCCTTCTCCTGCAGAGGCTGCTGACAAGGGGGCCGTTTCCGGTGGTGATTGTAATGCGTGGGCAGCCGACCCACTGAGAACCGGACCGAGTGCCACCAAACTCCTATCACACGGGCCACACAACAGCCACTTCCCTCCTAAGCTGGATTTGAACCAACCAGAGGTTCTCTGCAAGATCCGACCCTGTACCGGGGACAGATAAAGGGAAGGGGGGATCCACAATGATGGGATAATGTAGAGCAGCATGGGAAGGAAGTACGGAGTCGGTGGGACTTACCCAAGCTTGCCACTGAAAATATCCCATCTCTGGTCCTTTGAGAGCTGCATTTGCTGTGATCCACCCTTTGCCTGACCTGCTCTTTGCCATCCTCTCCAGGAAGGGAGGTGGAACGACAGCCCGTGTAACCAGACGCTGCCCTCCATCTGTAAGAAGCCCGGCCGGGTGAGCCAGCGGGGAGAGGAGGAGGAGGACCACGGCTGCAAGAAGGTGAGCGGGCTGGGGGCTGGGCTGCCGTTCGCCTTGCTGAGGTACAGGGCAGAAACTAAGGAGTGGGCCTCTACCAGCCCAAGCTCCACTGACCAGGGCTGACGCCTGAGTCCCCCAGCATCGCCTTCTCCCCCCGCCAATATTCCTCCCTAGGGGGATGCACCCCATTGTTTGAAAATCGCTGCTTTAGTGCGATTTATTTCCACTTTTAGAGCCTAAATTACTGTAACAGTCGCATGACATTTACCCACAGTGACTCTGTAGATAGGATGTAACTTCGCTTCACGGAGCCCCAGACAATTGCCATGTTTGCTACCCCCTCACGCTGGCCCTGGCTGGGGGGGGTGCTGCCAGAGGAAGGAATCCCATGTGGTACTGGAAGGACCAAGCCAAGGAGCTGTTGTTTCCTTCAGTTCAGACAGGCTCAGAACGGAGCAGGCACCCTGCTTGCCCATGTCATCCCAGAGGACCCCCGGGCTCTGGCTGTGGGGGCCTATTTGAGCAGTCCTTTGCCAATGGCGATGCGCACATACTTTGGAGGGACGGTGTCTCCATTTCTTATGACCAGGGAGGGACTTAGGAAACCCAAATGGGCCAGTGAAGGTCGGGGAAACACCAGGCCTCTCCCTTCGACCCCCGTGACCTTGGGATGCAAAAGCTAAACCCCTTGGTCATCGAGGTGAGACAAAGCTTCCTTCCTAGTCGTCCCACTGCTGCGCTGCGGGATCTGTAGGCACAGCAGTGGGGCCGTGGCCTCTCGGCTCGTTGCCCATGAGCCCTCCAGAGCCTGCAGCTTCTAGGCAGACTTCGCTAGTGAGGTGTGCACAGCTGCAGGCTACCTCCTGAGCTCCGGTGTGGGGCTCAGCTTGGCATGGAGCTTTGTTGCAGACAGCTTGACTTCCTGCCTGACTGCAGGGGAGGGGTGTCGGAGAGCTGTAACCCTGACTTGTCTCTGATGGGTCCAGCCCCAGGGACTGTCACCTGGCTGGCGGGTGGGACCAAGTACCGGAATTACAGAAGGGGGCTTTGAAGGAGAAGGTTAACGCTGAGCAAGGAGGAGTGAAGAATTGAAGAAAACCCCCTCCCCCTCCACGCTCCTAGACCCGGGGCTAGGCCTGTGGGGAGATGGTTCCTGACAGCTGTGTGCTGTCCAGCTGCATAGTGTCCAGACGTGCATCCGCCCTTGCATCAGGCCAGCTGTGCAACGCCGAGATGCGTCTCCAGTCCAGCTGCGTGCTGGCCCGGGGCTGGTGGGACGCGGCCGTGCTGTTGATGTCTGCTGCGGAGGGGGCTCGTGGGGCTGCTTGCTGGCAGTCTTACCAGGGAAGAGGTGGAGCGCTGACATCCCAGACCCACTGCTCCCACCGAGTGGGACAAGGTGACGGGAATAGATCCTGGCTAGGGAGGAGAAGAGTGCCTCCTGCGAAAGGCGCGCACCCTCCGCTCCCATCCACGAGAGCAGCTAGCGCGAGCAGGGGGGAGCAGGTTTGAGTCCAGCCGGATAAATCCCATCTTCCACCTGTTCCCTGGTAGTGTGGTTAACGCGAGGCTGCGCCCCCCTGTTATTTTAGGGCACGTGGGCCATAGGCAGGCTTTGATTAGCCCTGTCAAAGCAAGTGACCGGCAAACCAGTGGCAGTAAGACATGCATCCCCGCCCTCATCCTGAAATTGGTCTGCGTTTCAAACAAAATGATTTGTCGTCCCCTCCCCAAGCCCCGGCTCCATTCACCGAAAGCCTGTTCCTCTGCCGAGGCATCTGGCCCGGCTGGGCGGCCCCAAGAGGATCGGAAAGCCAGGAGTACTGGGTTTCAAGCAGGGGAAAAGCAGCTACTCTGGGCGACTGGAAGGTGTCTTCATACACTGTGAAGGAGCCCCGATGGCATAAATAGACCCGGACATGTCAAAAGGAGAGGTGAAAAGAGGTGTCCCATCCCCGCCCTGGGATGGGATGGAGAGCAGGGGAGGAGGGATAGAGCACGCGTGGGACCAGCTGCAAAGGGAATGGAATGAGGTTCGAGTGGTTACGGTTACTCCGGAGCTCAGGGGCTTGGGGGCACCATGGCAAAGCTGCTATGCCCAAGGGAATGGGGCCACCATGAATGGGCATGCTGTCCAAAGTGCGCCCACTCTTCTGGGAAGAAACTGCACTTCCTCCTTCCCTGTGCTCTCCTGCAGCATTCACCGCTCCGCCCTGGTAGAGGCCTGATTTTCAGAAGGGCTCTCAGCTCCTGATTCTGCACCAAAATAGGCGGCCAGGTTTTCAGAACAGAAGCACCTTGCTCCGCTCAGAGGGCTCACGCGGGCTCTGTGCGTTGGGCGCACGCTTGGAAATCTGGCCCCGCTCTTCATTTGTCCTCCATTGACACCCGGGTGCTGGGAGCGTCCTCTTGGGGTGCAGTCACAGTGGGTGTGTCAGGCCGCTGCATGTGTACTTCTTCCTTCTCCACCGTTGCCCCTATGGGGTGGCAGTGTTGCCTAGTGGATAGCGCACTGGTCTGGGCTTTGGGAGACCAGGGGTCTATTCCTGGCTCTGCCACTGACCTGCTGGGTGACTTTGGGCGTGCCTCAGTTTCTCCACCTGTAATACAGGGATAATGTTACTGACCTTTATAAAGGGCAGTGAGGTCTACAGGTGAAAAGTGCTAGATGAGAGCTAGGTATAATTATATCTCACCCCCCCCCCTCTTTCGGCACTAAGGCAGCTAACAGTGACATGGGACTCGGTACCAACTGGCTGTGGCCATCCGCCAGATCCCGTAGCATTTCCACCAGCTTCTGCTCGTCCAGTTCTAGGCCCTTTGTAAATGGGTGTCAATCCTCATTTGCTCAGGGTTTGCAGGAAGGACGGGGCTTGACTCACACTGGCCCATGAGAGCTGTCCCGGTGCACGGCTTTGACGGGGTCATGCCATGCAGACGTTTGCTCCTGCTAGAGTATGGGACTGGACAACATCACGCCCAGCCTCTCCTGCATGGAGGACTAATGAGCTGCCCTGATCCCTCTGTCGAAGCCGTGGAAGACGTTTTAACGCTGAACTGTACAGAGCTGTTGAAACGGATGCAGGGAACGCTCCTGCGCTGGCCAGGGGGATGGCCCGGATGTGGCCTGGTAGGGCTGTGAGTTCCGTGCTTCCTGATCGGCTGGTTGGCTGGCACGGAAAGATGCTCCAGCGCTATTCGAGGCTGACTTCAGAGCAGCCCCTCCAGTTGGGGCCGTGCCCGGGCTATGAGCCCTGCCGCTGCTGGGGGCAGTCGAGGCTGCAGGACGCGGTTCCCTGCGGGGGGGTGGGGGGGGCTCAGAATGGCTCGATGGGCCAGAATCTGGTAATGACATCTGCAGGTTTGGGCTCCTTCCTGCTTGCCCATCATTGTGTTTGAGCCGTGTGCGCTGAGGCTGCTGCAGCTCTGTGTGTGTGTGTGTGTGTGTGTGTGTGTGTGTGTGTGTGTGTGTGTGTGTGCGCGCGCGCGCGCAAATGGGCTGATGAAATCGCCGCTTAATATAAAAAACCCTGCACAGAGGATTAAAAGCAGCTGCCAGGGCAGCATTTGTTCTAGAGCAATTAGCCGCCTCGGGCCTTCTTCACGCTGCTGCGGCAGCTGCCTCCCCTGTGTCTTTCCGGTCGCTCCGCTCTCTTCTCGCCACCTTCCCCTCCAGCCCACGCGCCTTGGCAGGCCGTGCGGCAGAGCGGGAACTCCCAGAGTCTGCCAGACATCAGGAGGGACACGCTAATCCCTCCAGCATGGCTCGGCTGGGCTGCCTGCCCGTGGGGAAGGAGCTGGCCCCTTGATGCGCTGAGATCCTGGTGGGATTAGGGAGGCAGGCAGCAGATGAGGAGTTGAGGCTTTGGCAAGTCAGGCTGCTGGCTTGCAAGCAGACAGAAGGGGTGTGGTGCGTGGGGGGAGGGGAATTGCATTGCAGCGCTGCCAGATTCCTTCAGCCAGAATTGGAAACTGAAGCGTCTCCACCGTGGGGTCATTTTGTCTGTGGCCGGCAGGTCCCTCATGCTGCAGGGTGGCTGTCTGGCCGGGGGCGCTGCAGGCAGCCCAGGGTGGGGGCCGGAGGTGAACTGCCCTGCACTGAAGGGGTCGTGCCGAGGTTGAACGTTTCTTTTTCCAGACCCCCTGTGTTGTCCATACGTCCTCACCCAGTTACTGTGGTGCTGCCTCCTGATGCAAGGACCCCGACCTGATCTCTCTTGGTTTTGTGTTCTGGGCTCTTTGCACAAGGGCCTGCCCTGAGTGACTTTCCATCTAAGAACCAACTGTCCCCACAGGGGACCTCGACACTGTCCTGCACCCCAGAGAAGCTTCCTCCTGCCTGCCCTCTTTGTCAGTGCTTGTGTGTGAGACACAAGGTCTCCCTGGGCTCTGTTCCTGGCTCTGCCGTGGCCGCGCTGTGTAGCCGTGGCCAAGTTACTCTCTGCCTCAGTTTCTCCATCTTGTAAAATGAGGACAGTACTCCCCTGATGCCCGTGAAGGCTGTGAAGCTCCTTCCATTACTGTTTGTAAGGTGCTTTGCCATACTTGGGAAAAAGAGGCTAGAGCCGGTCACAGGTGGTTATTCGTGATTTTCACCCAAGTCTTGAAAACCCCCAGATGATTAAGCCTTATGCAAATGACAGTAAGGCACAGGTGGTCTGAAATTCTGTAGTATCCTTCATCCTAAAGGAACCCAAACTGCATCCTAAAGGAACCCAAAATCCCAAAGGGGATCTCTTCTCCCACCCCTGACTGCAGACACCTCTAAGGTGGATCTCATCAGCTGTTTTAACATCTCACAGTAATGCTACACAACAGCTTAAGAGAGGAAGTGACGAAGACTCCAGTTTCCAGGTAAACTGGCAAAGGAGAATATCATTATCTAGGTTGGTGAGAACACCAGTGTTAATATCCCTTCCTTACACGGGGGGAAAGCGCCATTTGATCTTCAGTGACCACCCGTACTCAGGACCTCAGTTTTAGAGCTGATCTGCAAAAAGGTGCCCCTGAGGGCAAGGTCC